ACTTATCGAGTGTGCGCCGTTCGACGACGCCATTGCTTAAGCTTGTTTTCGTCGTGGAGCGGTGCATCGAATGGCGCTCGCATGCTTCCTGATAAATTATTTTTCTGCGAAAACTTTGCTGAACTTTGGAGACATCATTAATATAAATATTATTTTTATGGACGTTAAATAATAAATGGTTTTTAGTAGATCCGCTGCTCGTTTAAACTCAACGGTTTGTGCAATATCCGCTATTGGTCTAGATTCGACCAATCCTGTCGCAACACGAGTCGGCGATGACGTTTTACCGAATTATACGAGTCTCTTTTAGTGTGTTATATGAACACGATTGCAATTTTTTCGCCGTCATATAGGAATCCGAACTATATGAACCCGTTTTATAGGGGTCTACTGTATTTTTGTTGTAAAATATATCCTTGAAATTTTGTTGTTAGATATCCTTCAGATGATTAATTTTCCTAAGTTTGAGGTGGTCAGCTTAAAGAGATTTTACTACTATAAATTTCTTTATATCCTAGCATTTCGATTTTTGGCCCATTGTTGGAACTTTTTGTATACGCCTGTATATCATATCGAGTTGAACTACAATATTTCATTATAAAGCCAGTTTTTTATTTTTACCTTTTTAATTAAGCAATACAATTTATGATTTTGATATCAAAAATTCAGAATCAATTTCTTTGGGAAGAATGTTTTTCACGCAAATTAAATCATAATAAATTATGAAAGATGAAAATGTGATACATACAAATACTATTTCTAAGAAATTATGATGTAACAACATGAATAGTTAAGAAACTTATTCACAATTTGTGAATAAGTGAATCACTAGTTCTGTGTAATCAATCGTAGACGATGAACGAGTTCATTCAAATGATTTTGTCGGCCGTATGATATAGCTGTAAGGAATGATGTGGTAAGGTAATACAATATATGACGTTATGTGCCAAGATAAAGCGCTTCCCGGGAGGACTTTCTATGCTAGGAAACTGATACGAAGAAACCGTGAAAACTCCACGTGGTCAGCCTGTTGGCAAGGAGTGGATCCGCAACCAACTACTAACGTTCAGTGATTTTATCCACTGAGCTTATCCGAAACAGACCATCTTTGAAAATTTCTTAAGTTGTTCACCCGTATTCAATTTCAGGTCCTCCAGAGCGGCGGGCCTACGCTCGCCATTCAGTTCATTCTTTACACGCTAATCTATCGCATCGACAAAGCAAATCAACTAATATTTCTAGTTATTCCATTAATTTAAAAAAGAAATATTAAAATAAAACGATAATTGTTGTTAGGTGTAATTTTTAAAAGCAAACTTTTCATAAAAATTAATATTAAATTGTTATTACGAAAACATAAAAATATTATTCAGTATTAAGTAATTATAAAACATGATATTAACGTCTTGCATAAATAAATAAGTGAAAGAAAGTATACACTAGAAATATAACTGTATATTTTAATATAAAAAGAGTGTTTGAATTTACTGATATGTACTGTACAGTACTGTCTGTACAGTACCATTATTATATAATGTATCATGTAGGGTAGTAACGTAGAGAGATTAGATTAGATGATAGATTTAATCCATTAACTAGAGTCCATGTATATATAATATGGAGTTTGGGTTTAACGATGAATTCATATGTGCCTCAGTGGCGTATCGTAGTGGGGGCGGCAAGGGCGGTCCGCCCCGGGCGGCACTTTTAGGGGGCGGCAAAATTTCACAATAAATAATATCTTGTAAAAATTTGAACCATTTCATTTCATATTTTTGTCGCACCTACGATTCGGACCGATTGAAATGAGCACGGAATTTTTCATTACTTATTCTGTGACGAAACTGAATTTTAGTCTTTTAATTAAATTGAGATACCTAATTTAAGGGGACGACGAAATTTTCCTCCGCCCCGGGCGGTTGACACCCACGCTACGCCACTGATATGCCTGGATTTAGTAAGTGGAAATAAAGGGCGCGTCTACGTGGTAAGAACGTAAAGCAAGCCAATGGCTTGCTTACTTAGCTGCTTGTTACCAGTAATACGAACTCAGAGAGTTTTTCGTTAAATGTGGCTAATTTCAATGTCTTTTTTTTTTCCTTTCTTGTTAATTTGTGATAATTCTCAAATTTGACAAATTTTACTTTTTAAGAAGGTGATTGGTAAATTTTATTTCTAAAAATTACTCACTAGGAATATTTCTTAAATGAAAAAATATTGATTTTGCAAGACAATTTATCAACAATCTATATACTGTACCAAATTGTTCATCAGGAGTCAGGTATTCATTTAATTTCTTGGCAAAATGCATCTGATACTGAAGCATTTTGAATTGAGGTCCACAATTACAGAGAAGTCAACAATGAACACTTCAAGAACAGTAAACCCTACTTTTGAACTATTATGCTTAGCACACTCCAGTTCAAATGTGGAAAGTTGTTTTAGTGTGATAAATATTATAAAAAAAAGACTCTGAAACAGAATGAATCCATCACTTAAGTATTATTTTAAGGGTGTGTTCGATAAAACTCTACAACTTCCACTTTTTCTCCACCTGTAGGAAAAGTATTTATGATGATATATTTATGTTTAAAAATATTGAAAAAATTAATGGTCTATTTCGCATATATATGAAATAGATGATCATATATCTGAAATAGGCATATGTATTTATAATTATCTGAATATGTAATATTTTTCTTTTTGATCAGTAAAAGAAGCATAATGGATGTGTGCTAAGACTTTAAAGTGTGCTCTCTCTGTTTCCACCATTTCTACTACCTTCTTAAAATGTAGGGAGTGTTCAATAATGCTTTGCAGCTTTCTCTAAGAATATATTATGGTTTGAAACAAAATAGCAAATGATGCCTTAGCTGTAATCTATTCGGTGATATGATTAAAAAGATTGGTATAAATAAAGCACATCAAAGCCAAGATAGTGAAGATTTATAAGTAGATTCTGCACATTTACAGTATATGTTAACTATTTTGATAAATTATATTTTTGCATTTAATAATTTTGTTTCATTTAGGTCTATTCCTTACCTGTATGTTTCTGTAAAAATAATATTTTGTTTTAGATAAATTTGGATTTAGTGAGTTTTGCTAAACTTTTAATCTTAAAAAGTGAAATTCAAATTCGGCAGTTGCCAGTGGCAGATCTTGCCACTTAAATGTAAGTCCAATGAATGAGTCTATGGGGGGTCGAGTAAAACAAGATGCTAACAATTGCAAAAATAAAGTTATTTCTCATATTATTACGTACATACATATTAATTAATATTTTGTTTTCATGTAATACAACTGTTTCTGTTTTAGGTTTTCTGAGTTAGTAAATTAAGATCTGTTGTAAATAGTTTGGATTTGGATTATGTAACACTCATACAGAAGTTTAGTTTGAAAATACAGTATATCAGAAATTATAATTAATAAATCCAATGGCAATTCCATTTGATAAATCCCAAGCATCTGATGGTGATTGTAAAAAATTCCCTCCCCTTAATTTTGACACGAGATGTTGCATTCCTTTTTTTTCGATTCATCAAGTCTCACTTTTTTAAATTAATAAAGTCATCCTCAACATAATATCACTCAATATGCAAAAAAGTAAAAACTATATATATATANTTTAATAAACAATTTACCTACTATATCTTACTTTTAACTATCTTCTTATATCTACAGCACATAACAAATTTTCAAATGAAGCAAGTAAATTAAAATATTTTTTAAAACAATTACTTTAATAAAATGAAAGGAAACTAAAAAAAGATCTAGCAACAAGATGCATAACTTTCCCAGCTGTTATAAGATTTTATTTTAAGAATCACTTTTTAACTATTAATCATAATAAATAAATAAATGAAATTATAAAACTCATCCCTATCTACATATAAAGATTGTAAATGCTAACAACAATTAAAATCTTCATTAAGCCCAACTCCATGCGAGATATGACACGTGACCACCCTCTATCTCTCCTCTCCCCTTGATCTTTTATCACCAAAATTTAATAGCATCAATGTCCCTTATACACAAGCTACTGTACCAAAAATCATTTTTTAATCTTCACCCTATCCTGAGATATTAAGTGAAATTGATGCCAACACACACACACATCCATGGAATTTTTTGCCTTTTACTTTTTTGGGTTCAGAGGAAGGCTGCAATTTAATGGTAAACAACAAATTCCAAAAACAAACAATTTTACTTTTATTAATTATTATTATTACTTTTGTTTGCTGACAACTACCTGCTTGATTATGTAGTAAGATGCATAGTACCGACAGAAGGATCAGGATGTTAAAATTTTTATATACAGCCGTACCTCTAACAACAACTAATGAATAGAAGCACTGTTTACTTACAATGGGCTTTTAAAATGAACCAGGATTCTAAAGAGAGAGTTCTTCAAAATACAGGATATTTTTTCAGCATATCCCAAAATATGGATCATTTTGGCATTCTGACAAAAACAATTAAGATAAGTGAACAAGGTCAAAATATAGAACAGTCCCATACAATACAGGTTGTTTGGTCACTTTAATTAAGATATAACAAGTCATACTTTAGGAAGTTTATGATTCTTACCTATTGTTAGATAAAAACAGCTAAGAATCATGTTTTCTAAATATTTATATTATATTTATATGATATTATATAGTAAATTGCTATTACAATACATTCATTATATATTTTATTATAAAAATGTGAAATTTCCAAATAAAAAAATGTACTGCTACTTTGTATCAAATATAATTCTTTGATGATAATGTGTAATTAAAGGTAAACAAATAATTTCAGTTTATCAAAAAGTGTATCTATCACTTTTTAATAAACTGAATAATAAGACATCTTATGTATTAATTATATGATTAATGTTATTTTTGAAATTTTAACTGTTGTTGAGTATTTTTGTCAAGAAAAGTCTTAGTTATAAATTAAAAATAAATATATTTTTTAATTACCAGGTAATAATTAAGGATAATAATTTTTTATAGGCTTTTTTCTGGTGGAAAGGGCTGTGGACGTCTTTCATCATGTTCAGAACCTGATAAAATAGATGATGACACTGGTAAGTTGCATTTAATTGACATTAATAACATTAATTTTGAATTTTCACAATAACTTCTTGATTAGCAGATTTATAACTCACGTGAATGTTTGAAAAATATTTAAGTGTTTAAGTAAATCACTTTATTTAGAAATTTAGCTATGTTTTATTTGTATCATATGAAAACGATCATTGAAATTGGATTAAAGAAGTATTTCTTATTTATATTTTGAATACAATTAATTATCTTTAATAAATTATACAACTTTAATTAGATTGGAGTCAATTATTTTATTTCCTTTTTTAAATTTTACATTTTCAATACTGGTAGTCATCAGAAGGTCTTACATCATATTAATATTTATAGGTTTCAATTTAAGTGATTTTTACAGAATTTACAAAAAACATTACATTTTGATGTAAGGACTTCTGATTAATTTATTAGCTTCTAAATAGTGTAAGTTAAAAAGGAAGTAACATTATTGACTCAAGCCATTATTATCTCTGAAATATTACTGGAAGACAAGATTCCAATATTTTACTTTCTTATTCTAAATTAATAGTTTTGTCTTTATCATTAACTAAGGTAACAGAAAGAGAAAGACACTACTGTTAAGCAGAGTCAGAGAAGTAAATAAAATTTTGGAACAGTTAAGATAACATTGTGCAACAGTTGGTAATAGTTCTAGCATTGGGTTTAAAATTCTATTTATTGTCTATTTAATGCTTTATAATTTACAGTTAGTTAACAAATATTTATATTTTAACACATACTACTATGTTATAAATGTCCTCCATTTTTGTACAAGAAAGTTGGTACTCTTAAATGTAATATACAGTATCTATCATTAGGAATACCTAAAAAATACTTCATATTCTTCTGTTTCAACTTTAAAAAATGAAAACCTGCTATCATGTAATAACTGTTATATGAGTACAGTTTTTCAAAGTTAAATCTAAAAATTTCAATCAACACAATCAAATTTCTACACTAGAAATTGTACAACTTCAACTATATTTAAAATCAAATAAAATTTCATTCTATTTACTAACATTATATAATCCTAGTTATCTGCATTATCTATAATAAGTTTTGATTACTGATTTGGAAAATCTAAAACAAAACAAATAGAAACAGCTGCATTGTTTATTTTATTTATTTACTAAATCAACTTATAGGTAGCCCCAATTATAGGTCTGTTTATAACAATACAAAGGAATATAACATAACAAAAATAATAATAATTAGAACATTAAACATTGCTCCTTCTTATAACTCAAGAAAGATCTATTAATTAAAGTAAAATATAAAACATAGAAATTGGAAAATGTAAACACAATTTCTACATTAATGTTCAACTTAATGTTTGATAATAAACAATTTGAATAATAATTACTGAAACTGTTACTTAGAACTAAATAAATTGCCATCAGAAGCAAGTGCTGTCAGTTTATGAGTAGATATATTTTGAGAAATATTAGATTTATAAAAAGAAATTTTAAATCTAAAATAGTTCCTAATAGATGCAGGTATTTGTAGGTATAATTGTTCTAACAAATCAAGAACTTTAATATGAAGAGAAAATATGAATGTACAAAATAATCAAATTGGCTCAGATTGCTTTGTTTTTTTTAATAACTTTTGAGCATTTTGATTTGAAAATGTACATATTGCACTAGTTTAACAATTGGGAGACTATATTCATGAATTGTACGAGTATCTCGTGTTGATCTGCGACATTCTCCTATACCAATTCTGAGGAAGCTGTTTTCCTTTTTGCCCTTTAAATATTTGAAACCCTCCAATAGAATCTGTTTCTTGTAACTAGAATAAGATAATGTAAAAGAAAATTATTTTAGTTATACTTCATTACTTTTAAAACAAAAGTAATAAAGCATATTTAGTAATAATTACTAAATATATGCTACAAATCATTGTTAAAATTTTTATTTGAAAAATATTTTTTTGTTTCTTGTCTAGTTTTTCTGGTTACTTCTTGAAGTGCTAATCTGGCTTCTGCAGATGTTGAAATGGATGTATATTTTAGCATCTGTATAATGATACTAGGCATTTCACATAATGTTTAACAGCTTATTCAAAAGTATAGAAACATTCAACTGTTTTGTTTTACACAATATGCTAATAAGTTATTGTAATGCTTCAAATAGCTAAGCATTTACTTCTTGAAATGACAAATTTCAGCATACAGCTATGACATGTAATTTGAAAAATTATACCAACAAAAACAAAGATAAACACAGACAACATTCTTATTTAATTTTATTACTGCTTTCTGATTTATTAGCATATATTTAGTAATAATTACTAAATATATGCTATAAAAAATTGTATTACTGCAAACATTGAAAAAAAAAATTATTATTATTATTAATCATTTATTATTAATGATTTTTCTTCAATGCTTGCATTAATCAAATTTTGTATCAAAAACTTGTTTTTGATGCAAGAGATGCTATATTGCAGATTTAATGATTACTTTAGCGAAAATGTATAGTACCAAGTGTATAGTATTCATTGACCATCTGCTTTCACTGTAATATTGTATATATAACAAATACAAAAAATTCTATTTGTAAAATATATATTGCATTGTTAACATATAATTTAAATATATAGTTCTATTATCAGAATAATTCAGAACTAATTTCAAGAGTAAAATTTATTTGAATTGTAATAAATTAGTCTTTAAATCTTCTCTAAATTCTCTAAATCTTAAAATAAAATAGTATTGCACTGTTATATTACTAAAAATATGAATTAGCTTACAGCAACAATTATGAATTTATATGATTTGTTTCAACTAAGTTATTTGATAATACAGTATAATTTACAAGTTTTAATCATTGATGTAAAAAAGCCTTTTTCTAATAGTTTGATTAAACTGTTTAAAAACATACTTTAAATTTTATCTGAATAGTATGTTATAGTTGAAATGATGTGGGAAATTTTATGCAAAATAATAATTTTCAGAAATGATACCAAAAATATTTCCTTTACATCATATTATAGGATACATTAAATGGAATATTTAGAAAAAATATGGCTTAATTTGAATAAAAATTTTGATTAGAAGCATATATAAAAAGTTACAGCTAAATTACATATTTTCATATAAATTGCATTATGAAACTTAATATTTCTATAGAATGCAATTTGGTACCATGAAGAATTTTGTAATTAGTATGCTTTTACATTTTTATATATNAAACTTATATGAAAAAGGAAATTTTTTGGATATATCAAACATGTACTGTACTGTACTGTACATGTTTGATTAAATACATGTACTGTACATAACTAGTATTTAAACTATTCCATATGTTGATGTTTAAACTTATGTAAATATCAGAGATTTTATTTAAAACTCTTTCTTGAACACAGTGTATATCATTATATAATTTTTCTTCGTATAAAAAAGTTATATAAAATGAATTAGGAGTAAAATTGTCAAAGATAAAATACAGAACTAACAAGAAAGAATTTTTGACCATTCTGTGTCATTATTATAATGTGTAATCAACATTAAAATTCCAGATATATTAAGATAAATAATATATTCCATTTATAATTATATTACTGAAGGTAATATTTTATTTAAATAAAATATATTTCAGCTGATTTTTGAATTAAAAATATATGTGCTAACTTATATTTTTGTCTAGTTTTAAAATTAATTAAAAATGATGTAAAAGAAGCCATACATGTATGTGTTTAGTAATATTTATTACTTAAGTTTTTATTATTCACTTGTTCCATTTGGTTATATTGAATTGTTTTCCTGTTATGGACTAAATCTAAAATTATTATATATTTACACATTCCAATGTAAATGATTACTATAAAACTTCAGTTTTTTCTGNGTTGAACATTTAAATTATTTGAAAACTGTGCAAAAAAGAATTTTTCTTAATGTGATTTGGATTTTAAACTATTTAAAAATATTTGAACAGTTTTTTTGAATGAAGTATTAAAAATTTGAAGATATTCATTTAGTTTAAAAATCAAATACCAGTAATTTGTTCTATATGGAATAAAATATTGATTTTCAAACTATATTTCAAAATTGAATGTTTTTAAAATTTTTCTTATAAATTACATTAAGATTTTGTTAATTTTGTGTATTTAATAATAATAATAATAATAATAATTTGGCAAAACTTCATCAATCAGCTAGTTAGCTTGGTAATGCCTCTTTGGGGAGATGGAAAGTTTCACAATTGCCATACAGGATCAGGTTATAAAAACTACAGAAAACATACTCAAAGATATAACATTCACAAATGATGCATGCAGAAAATGTCACATCATGCCAAAAACTATACAACACATTACTTCTGGTTGCAAGCTCTTGGCACAGACAGATTATTTACATAGACATAATCAAGTAGCAAATATAATACACCAAGAGATTGCAAAAAAAACACAAATTATTAGACATTTACGAACCATACTACAAATACATTCCACAGACAGTATTGGAAAACAACATGCACAAAATGTACTACAACAGCCATAATCACAGATAAAACAATTTACAACAGATCAGACATCATATTCATTGACAAACACAATAAAATCACATACATTATAGACATATCCATTTTGAACACTCTCAATATACAAAATACATTCACTGAAAAAATTAGCAACTACACAGAACTCACCCAAGAAATAAGGCATCTGTGGAGGATGGATAGGGTGTTTATTGTACCTGTTCTCTCCTCTACAGGTGTCATACCACACACACTACACAAAGCCTGGGAACATTACAATTGAATAGAAACACATTCATCACACTACATAAGGCCACTTTATTGAATATATGTCATATTGTTAGGAAATTCCTGAATACAGACACAGACACAGACACTGACACACTTATTTAATTTTAGTTTTGTTTTGGTTGCTTTGCCTTGACTCTGGTCCAGCATAGTACATAGCCACTGGTGTCAACCGAGTATAATCCACTAAACCCAACATAATAATAATATTTATTTAA